GCTATTCACAAATGATAGAATCCCATACGAGCTGAGACGCCGCCTCGGTAATCAAGTTCTCCCCCAGGTCTTAGTGGGCAACCAAGCGGGAGTGGTGGATGGTTATTGGAAGAAAAGGAAAACCAGAAAGCAGAGAAAATGGAAAAACAAGAAGAAAACATCCTCTACAACTGGTAACGAAAAGAGAAGCTTATAGGTTTCAATATTCTTCAGGCAAATGTCTGTGGCTTGGACAAGAAGAAAACACAATCGGGGAAATTTTTTTATGAAAGGAAAGTGCACATTGCTATATTACAGGAAACTTTCCATTCATCCTGTGACATAAACATCACGTTTATACATGTAAATGTGAAGGTTGCCAAGGGATTATAACCTATATCAGAAATTACATCCAGGGTGAAGTAGAGCCTCTTAATTGGTACCCCACCGACGCACATAAAGTCACCCTGTGGTATGGCAACAGCAAGCTCATACTTTATAACATTTATTGTCCCCCAAGTAGCACTCTGAACTTCATGGAACAGATATTATCTTTAAGAAGACGGTCATAGCTGGTGACCTTAATGTACACTCTCCCCTTTGGGGCTATGCAGACCAAAACAACACAGGTAAGAGGATTGAAGAACCATGTCAGTCCTCTAACCTCATCCTTCTTCAAGATGAGGATTCAACCAAAACACTTCTTCATAGGAGACATGGGACCCTCCACAGACCAGATCTCACCCTGGTCTCTGCTGATTTGCACAACTACTGCAGTGAGGAGATGCTAGACAGTATATCTAGTGACAATCGTCCCGTTCTCACCAAAATCAGTATATTGAAACACAGACAAAGGAAAAGAAGAACCCGTTTGAACTTCAAGAAGGCAAACTAGAATCTCTTCCGAAAAAACAGCTGAGGACACCGTTAAACTGGATGATCTAGACAATAAAAGTATAGACGCCCTTAATAGCGAACTCATCTCTGCCATCTTAGGTGCTGCAAAGAAGAGTATCCCACTGGGGTGCAGAGCCAACTATCAACCCTTTTGGAATGAGCGCTTGGAGAAAGCTACAAAAACTAAAAATGAGGCCAGACATAAATATGAGAAAGTTCTAAAAAATATGGATAAGAAAATTAGATTCAAAAAGGTCATAGCAGAGGCTAAATGTGTCACCAAGGAATCTAAGAAGGAAGCCTGGACACAGACGTGTGGGGGATTCAATTTACATCAAGGTGGACGTGAAGCTTGGTCACTTCTAAATAACCTCACTAGCGAAAAAAAGAAAGAAAACCCCAAACCACTACACACAGAAACCGAAGTTCTCACCAATGAGTTAGAAAAAGCAAAACACTTCAATAAACATTTTGCCTCCATTAACAAGAGCAGCAAAAGGAATGACCTGGACAGGGGTCTACTGAGTGTTCTGAAAGGAAAAGAGAGAGACTTGATGACACCGAGTATCTTCCAGGACTTCTTGACTAAGCAAGAGTTGGGCTGTGCAATCGAGAAATTAAAGAAGCGAAAATGCCCAGGTCCTGATAAAGTACACAATGAGATGCTACAAAACCTTTGTGAAAAGCAAAATTGCTACTTCTTAGGCTCTATAACAGAACATGAACTGAGGGAAATCTGCCTAAAGCATGGAAACTAGCTGCTATAAATATAAACCCAATCTTAAAGGAAGGGAAGGAGGCCAATGACCCTAAAAACTAGTGCCCAATATCACTCACGTCATGTATTGGCAAGGTCTGTGAAAGAATCCTCAATTCTCGTCTTTATTGGTGATTTGAGTCTCCAGGTCTGATATCACGGTGTCAAGCAGGGTTCAGGTCAAAAGGCAGGACAGAAGACCAGCTCTTCAGGCTTACACAGATAATCATTGATTGGATTTCAAAGAGGAGAACAGATAACGGCTGTGTTTGTGGATCTCCAAGAAGCCTACGATAGAGCGTGGAGGAAAGGACTACTCTTAAAACTGCAGAACATGGGAATCAAAGGAAACATTACATGTACTCTTGGATTAAATAAGTCCATACAGATAGACTTATCCAGACCCAGATGGATGAAACCCTATCTTCAAAAGTAGTACTTGAGGAAGAACTCCCACAGGGATCTTCTATAAGCTGTACCTTATTCCTTGTCTTCCTCAATGATGTTTCAAATGTTCTCAAAAAAGAACAAGTCCTTTTTTGCTGATGACCTGGTCCTTTGGCACACTGGAAACTCGACAACAATAAGCAGACGAAGACTACAAGATGGTCTTGGAACCAATTGCCGTTTATGGAAGATGAAAGTAAATTGCGAAAAAACTGTCTACTCTGTTTTGACGAGAAGCTATAACTTTGCAAATGCAAAAATC